AAGCCACCACGGACAGACGAGATATAAGTTTTCACCAGCTCAATATCGTTTGTCATTCTTCTTTCAAACAAATTCCAGTCTCTTCTTGCCATGGCCGTTCGTGTCAGCAGATCCTCTGCTCTTGCAAGATCTGCCACATCTTTGGAAGGCTTTTCTGGCTCCCCCTCAATCAGCTAATCAAAATTGTAATCAGAACTAGGGTAAACCTTATAGATGGTTGGCGCTCGTCTATGGTTGACCTTTGCTTAAGCTGAGGTTGCAAAACTCGCTTGGTGTAATGGGGTGTCTCCTGGCTCCCCCTGCTCAAACACACTTTGCATCACGTGTTATCCATCTACATTGTCCTCGTTGATCCCCCTACGACTGGCTCTTCTTCTTTTTCTCCATTCTGATCTGACATTCCTCCTCGCTGTGGCATCAATCTGCTAGGAATATTTCTGGTGTTAAAGTATTCAAATAACCATCACTTTGTGCATTCTCACAAGTTGTACTCCTGCCAGTATCTCATGTCTCGTGGAATACTACGTCTCGGCTAACCGGACAATCTTCTTTGGATCCCACAACCTATAGCCAAACCTTCGTCTCCAGTAACGGCACAAAAGTGCAGAAGGCAACTTGACTTGGTTTATCAAGCTTTAAATCTCTGCTCCTTCGGAACATGCATGAATGTTGCAGCCAAATTACCCTCAGATGAAGAGTCATGAAATTATTCTAACCTGTCTAGACCTATCTCTGGGATATCCAAAATCCTAAAGGTGCTGAAGTAGTCCGGTGATTAGTAACAGCATATTTGACAGCTTCTCCCCAAACATGCTTAGGTAATTTGGACCATTGAGGCAGCGGATCTGACTCTCTCAATAATGGTGTGATTCAATCCGTTCAGCAATGCCATTGTGTGAGGCGAAACCAGGAACTGTCTTTCAATCTGATAACCCATGCTGATACAGTAATTTCTTAAACTCCTTAGAGATTAATACCTCACCACCATATATCCGTGCGCAAAACACAATGCCCACTCCAGTCTCCTTTTCCACCATTCGGGGTGAAGTTGCTGAAAGTGGTTTTTTGAATACTTGGTCTTCTTGGTGCGCAACAAATATATCATGTTTTTCCGGAGAAAAGTCATCAATGAAGGTAGAAAAATACCTACTTCCTCCAAGTGATTCTACTTTCATAGGACCACATACGTGAGTGTACAACTCCAACTTGTTGTCTCTCTGTGTATCTTTCAGAAATGAGACATGATTGTTGCTCCCAGTAACAATAATCAACAAGGGTTTATTTTACCTTTGGCGTAATTCGGTAATGAGGACTTCTCTTAGCCAACATATTCAACCCTTTTCTCAACTAACGTGCGCCAGCTGCCTATGCACAGAATTTGGTGAAGCACATCAGCAACTGTATTAAGTTGTCCCGCACATATATTGCATGCGTCCTTATACAGCGAGCAACATAATTTCCCTCCGCCACCGGACAAACACCCTTTGGGTGGTTTTCCAATTACCATACAATGTAGATGGGATCAGCCTCCTTGTCCAGCTACACTCACAGACAACAGGTTCAAGCCGAAAGATCGGGGATATGGTCCTCACATTTTTTAGAGTGTTACTTGTGCACGTCCGACACTGTCTTATGCAAATACACACCGATTCCCACCATCTTGCGAGACACTAAGATTAATTTCGCCATCCAATAGTGCCAAAATCATCCTGCTTTATTAAGTGGAAAAGGTATTCTTTTTTGGAACACAGTGGTATAAGCAGGAGTCTTACTATCACTCGGTGATCTGCATCTTCAAATGACATGCAATCTGCAGTCAACTAGAGTGACTCAAGTACCTTAACTTCTCCTGAGACTATAGCAAGTATTTTTGGTCCATTCTCACTGTCTTGGTCCTCATTTATCCTTTTGAGTAAAAGACAATTTCTTTTGAATGACCCCTTAAACCTGCAATGGTAAATTTTCTCATTCTCTCTGGACTTGGATCTACCACCAGAGCTCTTTTACACTTGCCTTGGACCTCACTCTTGTCTTCCGGCCCCTATTCTCTGTGTATCAGCAGGGCTTGTGAACTGGTATTGGAGTCTATTTCGTAGTTCTTTCATTAAGTAGTCATTCTTTACCATAGACAAGTTCGTTACACAGCCATTGGGCGAAGTTACTCAATGACAACAAAGAGTATCCTAACTATCTGGTAGAGAATCCCCAACAAGTACGCATGCTTGCATCTCATTCTTCGTAAGGACATAACCGCTAAACTGCTTAACGTCAGTTATCGAGTCCTTCAAATTCTGTTTCAGGTGTTGTTAAAATGATCGTCCCTCTGACAGCTTCAATTCATGACTGTTACCATCATGGAAGACTCCCTTGGCATTTCGTAGCCCTACAATATTTCTAATTTCTTTGTAATTTCTTTCAGAGAACTTGGGGATCTTTTTCATTTCTCACGTGATTGTACAGGCTAGCATCTATCCATTGGCGTATTGTACCCAATGTTTGCTTTTTTAATTTATCCCACTGCCTTTCTTTCATTTCCTTCGGCTTTGCACTGTTACCTTCAATTGGATCGTACATTACAATTGAGGTAGTCCTCCATTCTGGATTTCCACATTGAATAATTCGAATCCGTCAATTTGATCATTGCCCTGTTGTTAGCCATGTCGAATTCACATGAATAGTAACTTTGTAGAAAACTGACAGAATTTAACAACCAAAGGCTCTGATATCAGTTGTTGGGATTATAACTGATCCCGAGTGGGGCCCGCGGAAAAATACCGATGGTAAAAATAAAATAAAATTACTACTACCACATATACCTCCAATAATTTCGTATTGGATATTGACGATCGAATCCACTAGAAATAATAATCACGGTAAAAATTAAGGTAAAGGAATTAAAATAATTACCGTAAATGCAAATGAAAAATAAAGACACCGTAGAAGATTTACGTGGTTCACCCTTACAACTGTTTATGGGGCTACGTCCACCGGGAGCGTCGAAACTCCCGATAATTCTTCCACTAAAAATAGGTAAGGTACAAAAGAGATTACAAAATAGTGGCACTCTAAGTGTTTCCCAAAAAACACCCCCAAAATTACAATCCTGCACAAAAGAGATTACAAAAATAGTGGCACTCTAAGTGTTTCCCAAAAAACACCCCAAAATTACAATCCTCACTATTTTCTCTCTTTCCCAATTTTTGGAACACTTTGCTAAAATTCTTTACACTTAATCATATATTCCTATTCCATTTGTTTTTATACAATCTATCGAGGGAAAACCTTCTCCTATAAAGCGTTATTAACGTGTCCACCGAATGGACGCGTTAATCACGCATCCACTTTTTTCTTTTTCTTTTCTTTCGCAGCCTCCTTTGAACAACAAAAAAAACGTGCCCTTTTTTTTCTTTGTTCAAACTTTATATGGGTCCCACAACCACTCATTTTTTTATTTTCAAATTTGTGTGGATACCACGTGTTGGAGGGATCCCACAACACATTTTTATCTTACCAAATTGACAACAATCTTACCCAATCGTATAGGATTGAGTAAAATCTGTCCTTTTAGTTTAAATTGGAGCCGGAGATATAATATATTATACAAAATATTTTTATTAATTATTGATTTATCATTAATATTTAATATGATTTCAAATGTTCAACGGTCAATAAGTTGGAGGACAAACTCATTTATCAACCCAGTCAATTCCCTCAATATAAAAATCTAAACTCATTTTCAGTCAAATAGACAGAATTTGATAAATTCTTTAAATTTAGTCCAATTGACTTGTAAATAAGTTGCTGTGAAACTCTCTAAAAGGAGAGAGAGAAAAGAAAATAAAAGAAAAGTTGAATGTCATGTTATGTAGCTCCCGTTTTATAGTTAGAAGAAAGACTAATTTCTTCAGGTCCGAATGGTGAGACGAGAGACTAATCTCTTTCTGATTGACGAGCGACTTAATTCTGCGATCACCAAGGCAGGATTTAATGCGTTTCAATCACTAAACCAAGCTATCTTGGATGGATGTGGTTGAACGTTTTAATAGCAAATGAAGCGATAAATGTTAATCATTGAATATTGCACATGACTTGAATTTCACTTTAATTATTTGGTAAATAGGAAAAAAATAAAAAGCAACAACCATGCAATACCCCAATTAACTGATTGTTTACAGAGAAAACGAAAGAAAAAGAAAGGGAAAGAAAAGAGATGGAAATTAAAAGAGCTGAGGAGATTTTACAGATGGTAAAATGACATAACAACATAATTTGAAAGCAATTTCAGTACCAAGAAATGAAAGCCGGTTAGACTTATTTGGAGACTTTTTGATTACACAAAAGCATCTCAACAACTTGTTTCATGGTTGGTCTTGCATCTTTATCTTCCTCTACACATTTTAAAGCTACCCCAACAAGAATTTCCACCTGAATCTTATCATACTCCCCTTCCAACTTAGCATCTAAAATCATTTGCATCCTCAAATCAACATTATTTGTAGCATCATTAATCGTTTCTTTCACCCAACTAACCAACCTTCTGTCCTCTACTGCTGTTGGGTTTTTTCCGGTCACTATCTCCAATAACACCATTCCATAGCTATAAACATCCACCTTAGAAGTAATTGGCTGATTAAAAACCCATTCAGGTGCAATATAACCCCTAGTTCCTCTAATTCTTGAAAGCTTTGAAACTTCATTGTTGTCCTTTTTTAATGGGCGAGACAGGCCGAAATCAGACACCTTTGGCTGGTAATCACTATCTAAGAGTATATTTTGAGGCTTCACATCACAATGCAATACCCAGTCCAAACACTCTTCATGTAAGTAAGCAAGACCTTTTGCAGTACCTAAAGCAATACTAAACCTCTTCTCCCAATCAAGTCTATTTGAAGAAACATTTTCTGCTAAAGACCCATTTTCCATGTAGCAGTACCTAAAGCAATACTAAAACCTCTTCTTCACCAATCCAAGTCCTATTTGAAAGAAACATTTTCTAGCTAAAGACCGCATTTTCCATGTATTTGTTTAAACTGAAAGGAGCCCGTGTTTCCTTCTGCACAATATTTTCCATGTATTTGTAAACTAAAAGCCTGTGTTTTCCTTCTGCACAATATCCCCAAATTTCTATTAAGTTCATGTGATTCAGTTTTCCAATTATACTAACTTCTGCCCAGAATTCTGCTTCTCCTTGGTCACTAGCTTCATTGATCAGTTGCTTTACTGCTGCAACTCTTTGATCAGATAATATGCCTTTATATACAATTCCTCCTGCTCCCCTTCCAATCTCTTGGCTGAAACCCCGAGTCACCTTTTTTAACTCATCATATGTGAATCTCCGAAAGCCAGTTGCATTTTGAAGAAAATCTTTACCAATAGTTGAATCCGGGTCCTGATGAGTTCTTAACAAGAACCACCATGTAAAGAAAATAACAAGGAATTCAACAATTCCAAGTATGCTTGTAAACCAAAGGATAAACCTTACTGTTTCATTTGCTTGGCTTTTTGTATACACTCTGTCAAGTTGTTTGATAACTTCACCGGAGCAATCTAGCCTGTTGACTTCATCGATTTGTTTGATAGAAGGAAAGTTAAGAGGACTTGTTTTTGGCACTTTTAAATATATATTTCCTGGAAAATTCACTGAACGATGACCGTTCAATAGCAGGGGTTTCACGAAACAATAAGGGACATCATCAGGATAACCTTGCTTCGTGAATCTGAATTGGAACCCTTGGCAATCACATCTTTCTGAACATACACTTTTACAAAGATCTAATGTCTCATTTGGAGAGAACCGATAGTCATACCCATAAAAATCAAGATGAGTTAGTTGAATGTAAGTAGTCTCATTTGGAGAACAAGAAAGGCTGAATTCTGGTTCACAGCCCATAGACCAATCCTTAGCATCCTGAAACTTAAACCCTGTAAGACAAGAACATTTCCTACCAAAATAAGGATCATAGCTGCATGCACTATTAGGTCCACAAATCCCATGAATCCTACATGGATCGGACATGGCTTGCCATGAAACACTCCATTTATCTCTTTCATCTGCTCGACTATACAATCGAAGATTTCCATCAGAATCTATTGTTAACCTTCTTTGCAGTTCCAATCCATAATCCGCTGACCTAAAATGAAATGCATCAGATGAACTGAAATTCCCTAAAATATCCAAAAAAGCACTTCTACTATTGTTATAAGTATTTCTTCCAACGGTAAAGCTCAAGATCTCAGGATCTGGCCAGTAAATGCTTTGAGTATCAACACCATCATAAAGAAGGCGAAGAACATTATCTGTGTCGAAGTAAAGCTTAAAGAATCCTGAACTATAGTTGCTTGGATCTGGCCAGTAAATGCTTTGAGTATCAACACCATCATAAAGAAGGCGAAGAACATTATCTGTGTCGAAGTAAAGCTTAAAGAATCCTGAACTATAGTTGCTTTCACTTCTTGATGACACAAGTTGCTTATCACCGGTGAGTGCCTGAAGAGTCAGGATAGTGTTCGTTGGAAAATTGAAACTTTGCCATAAAACAGCACCTTCCAAGTTCTGCAGTAGAAGATTTCCATTATCCTTAAGGGATAAATAACTAAAGATACTGATACTGTGTCTGTTGACCAGACTGTGAGCTTGCCTGCATCGGTTAAGATAAGATTACCAGATTTTTGCAAAGTGAGCTTTGAACGTTTCCCATTTACTGGTGCGTCCCGGTTTGCCATCCAAACTATGGTGCAGTTGTTAGTGCAGAAAGGTTCATTATACCATATGGCAAAGCAGTAAGCGTTTATGCCGACGGGGAAGAATCCGGCAATGAAAGTGCCTTTAGGTGAAATCAAAACATCGTTTGTGTTGTCTACTGATAAAGATGAATCTTCGGTTAAGTTATCGAATGCTGAAATCAATAATAATGGAGAGGATAAAAGTAAAGGCAAAGCAAGAAAAACAAGTGATGTTGCCATTTATTTTGTTGTGCGAAACTTGTTAACTTGATAGCTGTGAGTTTGCTATTTCCTTACTGCTGCTATATAGAGGGGATTGGGAGACCAATTCAATAAAAAATATTGATAAAGTGGGAATAATTTTTAAATAGTCTCTATTTTGTTGGATTGTTCTATCATGGGCCTCATAGACCAAGTCTACTTACGCCCACTTAGGTGTTAAAATCAATTTAGAAAACCTCTAGATATTTGAAGAAAATTCTAGATGTTAACCTAAAAAATCATAATGTCATATGTTAAAACAATATTATATAAAAATATCTATAATAGCACTGTGAATGAAATTGAATAATATAAAACAAAATTATGATATTTTTTAATATTAAAAACTAAAAAATGAGTATATTAACAAGTAAAAGTGAATGATATAAAAAATTGAACGAATATGAATAACAAGTATGATTAACGTGAAACGTATGTTATGAAAAAAACTAATTTATACTATATATAAATGTAGAAAAAAGAGAGAATAATATGATTCGATAACACCTTTGATGAAATTTGAATATTTTAGAATAACCTTAGCCATAACTAATTAGAAAATTATATTTTATTAGCTAATTGAATATAATTTACTAAAATTATTTTTTAAATAAATACATGTATATAACTAACATTTCAAAATTTAAAAATTTTTATCTTTTTTTTTTAATAAATATATATGATAATGAGACATTTGAAAAATTTTTATATTTTATTTTTCAAATTTATTTTTTAAATATTTAATTCTTTTTTTATTATAATTTAAAATATTTTATTTAGGTTTTAAAATATTGTAATTTCTTTTTTATTATAAATTTAAAATATTTTTTGAGATGAGATAAAAAAAGAAAAAGTATAATTTTGATTGGATATATATTTGTTTAAAAAATAAATTTCAAAAATAAAATATAATAGCATAATCTTTTCAAAATTTTTAAAATTTTTTATTTATTAAATAAAATGAAGCATATGTGTGTGTATGTTGGGTGAATGACCGAACAATTGAAAATTTTAATTTTAAAAAAATATATAACTAATCATTTCAATTGTTATATATATATATATAGTATATATAGTTATATATTTTAATATATTATTATGAAAAATCTAAATAATATGAAGACAAAATTATAACCAATATTTAATAGTAAAAATAAAAAATGAATAATAAATATAAGTAAAAATCTAAATAATATAAGACAAAATTATAACCAATATTTAATAGTTAAAAATAAAAATGAATATAAATAATAAGTAAAAGTGAGCAATGACATAAAAATTTAAACGAGTACGAATAACGAGTATAGTCAACATGCAACGCAAATCATAAAAAGACAAATCTATTTATATCTATGCTATATATAAATATAGGAATAGGGGAGAATAATGAGATTTCATATACTAGCCTTAGTGAAAGTTTAGAAATCCTAAAATATCCTTAGACATTGGATAATTGATAATAGTTTGAGTTTATTAAATAACGTGAGTTTTTAATAATTGATAAATTAAATTTTTTTAAATATTTTTTTATTAATTGATTAAAAAGTATATTATTATATTATTTTACTATTATTATTTTAATATATTATTCTAATGGGGCTAATTATAAATTGGATATCCGAACTTTCAAAAATTTTTTATTTTGGTGTCTGAACGGAAAAGGTTTGCAATCAAGTGTCTAAACTACAAAAAATTGATCAATCAAATGTCTTATGCTCATGTGGCACGCCGGGTTTCCAAATAGGATGATTTGGGCCCACTCATCCAATTAAAACATGCTGATTAGACTCCAACTCATCCATCAAAGTTGAATAGGAACCTGCACATGAAAGCCACATGACTTCATTAAAGTTGAAATTTCAACTTTAACCCTTAAGCCTTACAAATCTAACAAACCCTTTAAACCTGTCATCTTTAGACCATAATCCGGATGTCGTTATCATCGTACTCTCTAGCGCTTGAGATCAATCTGCTCCGGCATTGACCGTAGAGAAATTCCACCACCGAACATTCCCACATCCGTCGCCACTAATTTCTCATCTTACTCCTCATCCGTATCTGATTCCTACTTGATGTCCTTTATCTTGTCTATTTCGGTAAGTGTCGTTGACGCTATCTCATCGGCTCTAATATCATTGACAACCTGCTCTTTCACGAACTCACAAAGAGGTTAGGTGAGTCAGATACCGTTAGCATTGCATGTGAGTTGGCTTTGTTTGCGTACTTGTTATGGATGTTATAAGATGTCGATTCGTAATGAGTTGGTAAATGAGCTTGTTGCTGTTGTTTGTGTTGTAGTAACTTAATTCGTACATATATTTATAAATCAAGTACTTGGTATTGAATTTAAATTTCAGATCATTGATAGCAATTTTTTATTCTTTCTTTTTTATTTATTTCAAATCATTATTCTTTTTAAAATTTTGTAAATCAACTGTTGTACTCTTATACCTCCAATTCTTTTTATGCAAACCATCTATTCTTTTATGAGTGCTCGGGACACTTCAAAGATTGTAGAGTTGGTGTTAATGAGATGGAATTGGTTTTAACGGGTTGGAGAATCTCAAGGTAAAAGGCGAAGGAATTGGGTTTGGTTTCATGAGTTTTTGGGTCTAAAGAGGCATTGATAAAGATGTAAGGCTTATAAGTGAGGATAAGTTAGTCATTTTCTTCTCTTAATTATTTTAGAATTATAATAAATGTGTATAATTTGTAAGGATTAAAGTTGTAATTTCAACTTTAAATTCAGTATTTCACAGCTGAACTAGCGGCAAGTCATCGTGCTTTAATTGAATGAGTGGGTCCAAGTCGTCTTATTTGGAAATAAGATAAAAAAAATATTATTTTTAAACATATCGAATTTGATTGATTATATTGATATCTTATTTAATTTAAATCCTTTTTTCTATTGAGGAATATAATTTTATTAATAAATTTTTAAATGATTTCATGCTTTTGTAGGTTAAAAAAATAAAAAAATAAAAAAATTATTATTATTATTTATAAATATTTAGTTTGATTTATTAGATTAAATTAGTTTCTTATTCTATTGTTAAAAAATAGGTAAATAAAAAATTAATTATTATTATTTATAAATATTTAGTTTTGATTTATTAGATTTAAATTAGTTCTTATTCTAATTATTTATAAATATTTAGTTTGATTTATTAGATTAAATTAGTTTCTTATTCTATTGTTAAAGTATATTTATTTAGTAAAAGAGATTATAGTGAAGTTATTAACAACATGTAAGTTAATTATAAAAAATAAAATAAAAGTTATAAAAATGGTGATTTTTATAAATTAATTTGATACTTAAACAAAAAATAAAAGCAACTAGCTTATAATAAAAATTATATGAACCGATATGTTGAAGAGAATATAAATGACATATTTCATATTTAAAAGGAAGAAATAAATATATCATTTTTTTAATGAGATATTATAGTGCAAGATATATAATTAAAAAAAAATTTACTATATATATAAAACCACTATATTTATTGCAATCTAAATAAGAACTTATACTTCAATTATGTAAATAAAAAAACAAAACAAGTATACAAAATGAGCATATAATCAATATAGCCAACGTGCATCGCATGTCAAAAAAAGTGAACTATTATATATAAAAGTGGGGATGAGGAGCAAATATTCGCTCAAAGGGTGAGCTCCTTCCTTGTCTTACTCAAAAGCTTTCTTTATTCTCATTAAAAAAAAAAAAAAAAACATGTTTTAGCAACCAACGAATCGATTGCACAAAATCTTGTCGCTAACACGATAACGACTGAATGTAACGTCTGTCGATAATTAGCGACCGATAATTCGGTTGTTAATTTTATCAACTCGGTCGTTGAATCACTTATTGCCATTAAAGAAACGGTCATAACTATTCTGTCGATAAATCTCGGCATCACTATTCTGTCGCTAAGATGTTGTTCATTTGTCGCTCTATTTTATTTTTAATGTCCTACTTCCATCACTAATCAGTCACTAAGTTGTCGCCACTGGTGTCGCTAATCAGTCGCTTTTTTTTTCTCCAATTACATTGCAAATGTTTGTGACCCATCACTGTTCTGTCGCCAATTGGTCACTATTTATTTTTGAAAATAAACAAATAAAATTTAAATTTTGCAGACCAAAAACTTTTCACTTATGAAAAAGGGCAATATATACCATGTCACAAAAATAAAGGCAACAATGACAGAAATACTAAATTATGAAAAATAAATTATTATTAATGTGCGAAGAGAATTGTACAAATTATACTTTAATGTATAAAAAATAATTATGATAATGAAAACGAAGCCTAAGGGGTCAAATCTGCAAGATCTGTAATGGGACTCTGAGAGGCAGGCAGACTAGAAGAAGCTGGGGGATCAGAGTGACATGTCGGTGTAGAGGGAGATGGCGGTGCAATGGGTCGGTCTCAAGCATACATATCCATCAGCTGTGCACCTGAAGCTGAACTCGTAAATCCTAAATCTCCTTGATACGTGCGTCCGGCTCAGCTGGTTTGGACCTACTCGCTGAAGCCCCATGCGTGCGGCTATAAAAAATATCAGACTACAAACTATTATCGTACACTTTTCTTTTCTTCTCGCCTCCTGCAACCTCGAGATAAAGCTGCAACTCATCAATTGTAGGCTGCTCACCAGTTTGAGCCTGAGATGTAGTAGCTCACTCCTTCCCAATAGTATAGTTATCCTTACAAATATAGAATACAGTAGGATAAGAACAATGCAAAAATATTCAAATTTAGATGGAAAAACAAAAATGTAATCAATTGTGCTTACTCTAACAAGCTCAGCATGCCTATCAATGAATGTGATCCCATCATGGTCCTTTATATGTATAAATGTGAAGACCTTCATGGGCGTAGGCTGATGGTTCAACTTCTTGGCCTGCAATACATTTCATAAAATGCGAAACATTTTTAAATATATTTAATAATAAAGATTTAAAAAATGAAGCTACATAAAATTCTCTAAGTGAATTTTCCTTACCAATTTCTCAGTAATCTCAGTTGCTGAAATGGAACCACCGATGTGTTGAGACGGACTAGCCCCCTCACCACCCATCTCACTAAGCCTATTACGAGACAATCTCTCGTTTCCTCATATATTTAGGATCGGACCAAACCTGCTGCCAATTAGCCCAAACCTCGTCCTAAACACATCTCTGTTTCTTTCCTGTACTCCGCATCTTGTACAGAAAGTCTGAGTAACGTTTCGCCGACTATTTCTCCTAAGTTGTTTAAACATGGCCTCTATAGCATTTGACTCCCATATGAATCCTTTTGCAATAGCTAGAAATAGAAATATTTTCATACGAGATTTCACAACCATTAAGTTTAATTCATTTTTGAAGTAAGATGTAAAACCAATGGCCTCTATAGCATTTGACTCCATATGCCATCCTTTTGCAATAGCTAGAAATAGAATATTTTCATAGAGATTTCACAACCATCTAAGTTTTAAATTCATTTTTGAAGTAAAGAACAATTTACAGAAACTCATGCCATAAGAACTATCTAGCCTCCTACTAGTATATCTCCCCAACACCAGCCCATCTTTCTCCAAATGAAGGCATTGAAAGGATCCTCGTAATGGTGCTTTTGGAAGCATTAGATGAACTGATGGAAAGTTGTTCAAATAGAAATAGAGAAAAATAGAATTATTTCTTGCAATTAGGCAGCAATAAGTATATGTTAAATAATTACAATGACAATTGGGTCCCAAATATAAGAGTAATTGTTTTGTTTGTCACTTCACCGTCCTTTGTCGCAATGGGCAAAATATAAGAGTAATTGTTTGTTGTCACTTACCGTCCTTTCGCAATCTTCAACTTCATCTAGCATCTTCCTCAACTACAAAAAATGAGCATTAGTAGAAAATGTCAATGTTAATATACTAATATATAAAAATATAAAATAATAACAATAGTGAATTGTATATTATCGGGTGGAGGGCTGCTAATGATGATGGTGCTGCAGTGGCTGGTGCAGATGGTGCTACAACATTAGAAGTATGTGCCTGAGTAGAAGGAGGGATAGAAAAAGGGATAGGAGGTAGTGGAGGTAAGAGGGGTCGCATGACTGTATGAGAGTCACGTGCTCTAGCATGAGCACTTCGTCCTTGAATACCTCGACCTCGTCCCCCTCGTGCAGAGTCCTCGACCTCCCCGCTTGTATCCATCTGAACTAGAAGAAGGTGATCTGCAATACAACATAGTATTTGACATAATTATTACAAAAGTTTCGAGTTTATACAATATGTTAACTATGCATAAGGCTTTGAATTTTGGAATTAATATATACTAACTTTTTTAATGTTCCCTATCTCATTCTTCTTCATCTTCTTCATATCCTTTTTCTTATTCTTCTCCTTCTTCTTTTTCTTCTTCTTCTTCTTCTTCTTCTAACGTACCTAAGCCCTAGGGCTCCGCTTCAGCATCTTCATATGATATACCAATCTCAACATATGTCCCATCTTTGTCATCTAATCTTTCCATTAAATCTTCAATTATTTGGATCGGTAATTCAATCTCATCAACCTGAAATTGCTCAGACATCGATGTTAAGGCAGATTGTTTAGTCCAGACTTCTTCTATAATTGATCTAGCTTTAATGTGGCACAATGCCATCCAATCCAAGCGATCTCGCTTCATTGATGGATATGAAACATAGTAGACCTGAGTTGTTTGCATTGCAAGAATGAATGGTTTATACTTTGTGTATCTTTTTCTATTATTAACTTCTATTATGTTATATTTTGGATGAACCTTCATTCTAACATTTGGTATTGGATCGAACCATTCGCAATTAATAATATCGTCCATCTTATGGACATAGTTGGATATTCCAACTCAATGACCTCAAGCAACCTCCTATAGAAATTGCTTGACTATTCACTGTAGTTTGACTTTTTTACATATACTCTACTATGTAATGCTTTTCTAGTTGACCCATAACGCTCAGTATGGAACTTGTATTCATTGACAAAGTATCCCGAGTATGTATTTGCAATTGGCAAAGGTCCTTTTGTTAGATCAACAATGAATTTATTACCAATAATGTAACATCCTCTTGAGTTGAGTTGGGTTGAACCAAACCTGGTTGGGGTAGAATGGATGATAAGTGGACTTAGTTGCATGAAAAGTTTAGGACTTATTGGCATGGTAGGTTAACATAATTTTGGTAATTGATAAACAATCCCTGTGGATACGATAGAAAGAGATTAGAAGTGGACTTATTTGCAAATAAAGGTTAGGACTTGTTTGCATTAAAATATACAGCTTGGGTATTAAGTTGTAGCCTTTGTACACTTGAGGTGCCAATTAGAGAGGTTATACAGCCAAGTCATTTCATCTAGAGACTACCCGTTCTTATCAACTCACTTTCCCATTTTCACGTTTCTCCTTCTCTTCTTACTTGTCCCGCCCATTTTCTTTCAATTGTCAACATAGTGAAGCATTAAGTCAACTTCAAGTAAGTAAAATTCCTTGAAGTGTGATGTTATTTCCTATTTCATTTAGTGATATTGGAGATGAGTTATGAGAATTCTTGTGTATAGGAGAAGAAAGTCTAAAAACAGAGTACAAGCTTTTTGGAAAGAAAGGTTTGATATCTCTTGTTATTTACCATGTTCTTTGCATGAAAAATTGTGTGGAGTGTTGCTAATGAGATCATATGTTGCTTGTTGAGTGAAAGAATTGGAAATGATGTGAAAACAGGGGATGGAGTGAGTTTATGCTAAAACAGAGTTTGCTGGAAATTTTTCCAGCAACTTCATCTTGATTTTGACCCCATTTAATGATGGAATTAGGAATTGTCATAGAAGAGTTATTTGTTCCTCTATGTGTTAACCCCATTTTAATGGGGATGGAACTAGGAATTGTCATAGAAGAGTTATTTGTTCCCTCTATGTGTTATCTTTTAACGGTGGGCTTCTTGACCTCATTTCAACTTTGGAGTTGTAATATTGAGCAGTTATGGCCAAAAGAATAGCCTACAGACTGTACAGTCCTGGGAATCGCGCGTCGGCGTGCGCCGCGCAGGCTGGGCAAGCGTGTCGCGCTCGCGAGAATTCCACATGCGTGCGGTTTGCACTCAGTTGCGCCAAGAAGCTCTTGACCTCTCAGTTTGGCGCATTTCGCTGCTCTGCAGAACTCCACAAGCGCGGCTCGCTGACTTCATCTCGCGCTCTGCGCAGCTTGCTGTTGCGCGGTCCGCGACTTGAGCCGCGGTCGCGACTTGAGCCAGAAACCTCTCTGACTCTCAAATGGTACATCTCGCGCTCGCGAGGTCTGAAGACGCGCTCGCGACTTGGTCTCCCGCTCTCGACTAAGGTTGCGCGGTCGCGACTTTGAGCCAGAAACTCTCTGACTCTCATTTGACATTCTCGCGCTCGCAACTTGGCATGTCGCGCTCGCGACTGATGCTTTGACATTCTTTTTGTCTTCATTTCATATGCAATTAACTTCCTTTGCTCATCATGCATGCATCCAATCATTGTAAAACAAAAATACAATATAAGAACATGGATTAAAACAACATGTAAGCATTTAAACAACAGGTAAGCATTTAGATGATGTGAAATCAAATCAACATGATAAATTATGCAGTTATGCAACCATTTATATGTTATTGTGTTACATTGTTGACATGTTAATATTAAGCTCCATTGAGGTTGGGTAGAAACTATGTAGATAAGGCTATGTCGCGACATAGAATAGCAGATCTGCGCCCCATACAGTTTGGAACTCTGGCTACAGGCCGTTGAGTGGATATGGGCCATAGCAGCCAAGCAGCCTATAGCATACAGTTTCATCCAGTTTCATACAGTTTATCTTATCACTTCGGTTTCACTATAACCTTATGGAGCCATACAGATATTTTAACTTGCTCTTGCATGAATCATACAGTACAATAAACAGTAAGAAAGATCATGAAGGTAAAATGAAAGCCGCATGTTATGTGTGATTATATGTGCTTACATAATGCTTTTTGCTTATATGTGTGTTTATTGTTGTTTTATGTTGAGATATCCACTGAGCTTTATTTGCTCAGCGAGTTACCTGTTTAACTCGCAGGTTTTGAGACTAGTCCGTATACCTGTTTAACTCGCAGGTTTTGAGACTGGTCTTTTAAGCGTCAGCGTACAACTGCAGCAGTTCATCTGTAGAAGACTCGGTCTTCAGGGTAGCTCCCTATTTTGATGTGTAACTTTTATTTATTCTATTCATGGCTTGTACAGGGCACACAGTTGGGCCCATTTCACTTTAAAAACTTGTATCATGTATATCAATTTTCAGTATTCTATTAATGTAAACAGCTTTTGTATACTATAATAGTCAATAGTCAGTATGATATCAGCATGTCAGAACATTTAAGTCAACCAGTTTGTATCATCTCGACTCGGGGTTATTGGGCTCGGTTCATTCGGGTTATTGGGTGGACCGGGAAGGGGTGTTACAAATAATACTTTTCGAGTTACGTGCCCGTACAAATAACAAACATTCAATCATTTAAATATTAATTTCTTTGAGTTCAATAAACAGTTTGTAGTATGAACTGATGGTTACATAACTTTTGAACTAATATGCAAATTCTTCCTCTAGTCTTGCATTAATAACACCATCGGTTAATCCGAGAATACATTCGTGCAATTCAGCAATATATTTCCTACGAAATATATCATCAAATCATATCAAGTTTACTAGTTATAATGCAGTAACTAGCTTAATCTATAAAATTATATATACTTACTCAATGAATGGGGTCAACTCTTCGCGGTTCAACAAAATGTAAGTTTGAGCTGCATGGATCTTTTGCTCGTTCAAACGCATTTTTTTTTTTTTTTTTTTTTCCCATTATATGTATCCTGCATTTTTTTTTTTTTTTTGCTTCTCCCATTATGTATCCTGGATAGGTAAAAATTGAAAGGTTGCCTTCTAAATTCTCTTCCATTCGATCGCCTCCATCATCATTTCACGAGACTCATCGATGTTTAGTGTAAGCATGGGGTGCAAAGTAGTGGGAACAAAAAGTGGAAGCTTCTTCCACCAAGTATGCAGAACATGCGAAGTGCCGTTCATGTACTGCATGCCATTGCATCTGTTCAACTGTAGCATGAGATGCATATAGCCTCTGAAGTCGTGGAGTCAGTGAAAAGTAATACATTTTCTTAAAATGCTTTCTCTTTCTATTGTCTCCTAGTTCCTTGACATCGCCTTCTATACATGGGAAGGTTGCGAAACTTGCACATCCTTGGTTCACTGTCATTACCCCAGAATATCATACAGTTATTACAATAACAATCTATCTTCTCAACTGGCAGGCCTAAGCCCTGAACCAACTTCTTCGTTTGGTAAAAGTTATCAACCATGGAATTATCATCAAGCATCACTTCTTTCACTAACTGCACAAAATCATCATAACACCTTTCAAAAATATGGTGCTCTGATTTAATATGTAACATTCGTGATACTATAGAAAGCAAAGAATGTCTCTGACAAACTTTCCAAACTTCATGATTGGCGGCACTTAGCATATCATACAACATTCACACGGTTGTGTTTGGTGACTCTTTCATATTCTCCCTATGGAAACCAGGACCAACCACATCTCTAACTATATCTTGCGATCGCAATATTGCATCTGATGGCCTGACGCTGTGATGCACTGGACTGTCGACCCAAACTATTGTTAATCTGGGTTTCACCATGATATACCCACTGATAATAGTTTTCTAGAAACCCATTTTTTCATAAATGGAGCTTCACTGTTTCAACATCATAAAAGCCTATTTTTGCACCTTTTCAAGATTGCATGGACATCTTTTTTTTCTCTTCATGGATTATTGATTGCAAACTGAATAAAGGACTCCAAACCCTCCACAAAATCTCTCTTTAATAAATCATTCAACTCGTACTTTTAGTACATCCACATATGATCAGTAGATATTTTATCCTGTTTAGTTATCAGAAGCTACTTTGTTATTTTATTACAATTTATCAGAAGCTACTTTGTTATTTTATTACAATGACAGAGGTGTATTATGAGTCATAAATATTTGGGTGGGAACCTAGGTCCATAAAGTGAAACAGAATCATTTCACTGTGAACGTGGAGAATATAAAAATGAGAGATACTACTGAAATCCAAAAGATGATTAAGTAACTATTATATGTGTTCGTATATTTTGTACTTAAAAGACATTTCTAAACTGTCCAACTTGGACAATTTAATGTCTTCTCTTCTATTCGGATTGAGAAAAATATCAAATGTGCAACTAAGGTACTTGTATTTAGAGTAAAATACTTTCTCGTTCCTAAACTATAGTCATATTAACACTTACATCCTTCTATTATTAGCTAATAACTATGGCATCCTTAAATTATTGACCTGTTAAACATGAGTCCTTCCATCCAATTTAATTTAAAATCACTGTTAAAAAAAATGAAAATCCCTAAGCTACCCCTCTCTCTTAGATACCCACGAACCAAATCACTTTGCTTTGATTTTTGTCTTTATTCTCTGCCTCTCTTCTTTCATCATCTCCTGTTAGTTTAAATTTCTCACAGAAAAAGAGCAAAATTTTAGGGATAAAAATATTATAAACATCATAAGAAAATCTAAACTAAAGTTAATGTTACTGTCACTCAAAAAGTGGATTTTAAACATTGGAAAAAAAGGCAGTCATAGATAAGATTTTATCAAAAAATCCATGGGAAATACCTTGCCACTTTATATGATAAGGTGGAGAAGGAGCCATGGCTGTTTAACCATGCGAATAGTTAGGGTTATGGACAGGCAAGCGCGAATAGTCTGAGTTATATGCAGACGAGTCCAAATGGTAGTTATATGCAGACGAGTCCAAATGGTCCTTTAATCCAATCTCAGATCCTTCACCAAATTTGTCCGCTTGATTTGGGGTACCTTTTTTCTTTGTTTTTTTTCTTATACTTTTGATTTGAACTTTCTTTATTGTTTATATCTTTGTCTATACTTTTGATTTGAACTTTTCTTTATTTTTATATATAAATTTATTCATTCTCTTTCTTTCTTCGATTGTGGAGAGCTGAATCATAATATTTCTTTATAGTTGGAGCAGGTTAGGAACTAAACTCTATTAGTTGGTTGCAAGCTAATTTTATTTTATTTTATTATTCATCTATAGAAATTGTATGTTTAAATAGCTAGCCCATTGAACTTCCACCTAAAATCAACAATTCTTTGACCAACTAAAACTTATTTAACTTGAGCAAGAATTTGATCTTCTCTGAGAACAAGAGAGTCAAGACCTACAGAAACTTCAAAAAATATGCTATCTATGGCAATTTATGAATTGCTTAGTAGGGAGGGAAAATAGTTTAAGGCAAAATGATTCAAAGTAAAGTAAGAGTAGTATGATGATTTTATTATATTCGCTCTCCTCCCTGTACATTTTTATTTGGAAGTTAACGTTAGAAATTGGATCAAAAGGGATGGAAGGACCCACTTATTTGATAGAATAATAATTTAAGGATGCAATAGTTATTAGCTAATAATAGAAGGATGTAAGTGTTAATTTGACTATGATTTAGGAACTCAAAAAGTATTTTACTCTTGCATTTATGTTAATTAAGTTGATTATGGTTCATTATGATATTTTCAAGGAAAAAATTCTGCAGCATTTCCCCTTAAAAATTAATAAATCAAAATTTTCAAACACAACAAAAACACTTATGTAAATCAATATCCACATCAATGGCCACTACTAGGGCTCCAATCAATACAAGTCGTCAATAAATACATAAAATCCAATAAATTGCAATCAAATGCATAATAATAATAAAAAAAAATTCTAACTAGGCTTTCAATTCATATGAATGTTTAAGTTTATGCTTTCAATTCATATGAATGTTTAAGTTTTATACTTCTAATTCATATGAATGTTTAAGTTTTATGCTTTCAGTTCATATGAGTGTTAAGTTTATGCTTTTAAGAAAAATGTTTTTTATGATTATGCTAAGTTTTATGCTTTCCTAATTAAAAAGCTAGAATTAGTACGCTACTTACATTATAATAAAAATATAGCTTATAATAACATTCATTTTTATCACTTTCCTAATTAACTTTCCTAATTAAGTTTATGTGATCATTAAGTTTTATTCTTTAGATTTGCATTATTAAGTTTATGCTTTTCTAATTTATTTCTTATTACTTTCATAATTAAAACATTTAGTATAAAACTTAATCTACTACATAAAGGAATGGTTGCCACGAATTCATTAACGAAACAAATAAACAAACAATCAACTAACCAGAAAAACAACAAACAAATTTGACATATAAATAAAATGCAAAAAAAAAAAAAAAAAAAAAAAAAAAAAAAAAAAAAAACAGTTTGTTGTTGATTATTCTAACGAAAGATAAAAAAAAATAAAAAACAAGCTCACTTACCTCGGTAACTGCTCGCCCGGCGGCAGCGGCACTGTTGAACGGCATCGGAGTGAGACAGAGAGAGAGAAAAAAAAAAAAAAAAAAAAAAAAAAAAAAAAAAAAAAAAAAAAACAGTTGTTGTTGATTATTAACGAAAATAAAAAAAATAAAAAACAAGTCACTTACCTACGGTACTGCTCGACGGCGGCAGCGGCACTGTTGAACGGCATCGGAGTGAGACAGAGAGAGAGAGAGACGATAAAGAGGGAGAGAGGAGACAAAGGGAGAGAGGCGTGAGACTGATTCTGATTCTGAAATCAGTCTCGCGCGAGAGAGGAAGGCGACTAAATTATTCTAAAAATTTAGTGACCGACCTAAAATATATTACTCGATTGCTATTTTAATTGACATGACAAATAACCTTTGTCGCTATGGTGTAAAATTGTCACTAATTGGTCGTTAATAAATATGGAATTTTAGTCGTCGAAACTGTCGCCCTCTAGTCGCTAATCGGTCTCTATTAATTGCTGCCAAATAAGTGGCGCAAATATAGCAATGGATATTCATGGATAGCTATTCCATCGCTAGATCGGTCGCTGAATTGCCGCTGGTCTATGGCTTTGGTTAGTGCCAATTCTTGGTGTGAAAAAGAGCGACGGACATCAAGTCGGTGGCTAATTCTGCCACTAAGTAGGTCGCTAGTAGTAGCTGAATCGGTCGCTAATATTACAAAGGTTTCGTGTTAAGTGTCCGCTGTGGTGGGCGGTCATCGAGCTATTGCTAGTTAGGGACAGTGACACATCAGTCGCTAAATTCGATAGCTAAAAAGAGCTTTTTTTTGTAGTGCCTTTGGAAAAAAAAACTCTCTCGCGGCAAGGTTTTAGACTAAGGGCCGGCTACTTTCTTTATTTAGCTTGCCTTTAGTCGGTCTAGCGCCTCTTGATTGGGGTCCAC